ACAGAAATTGTTTCACATCTACCACTAACCCAGGCCACATGGAAGCCCACTCCTCTGTTGTGGCCATGCTGCAATCTGCTTTCGTTCCTTAATGATGGTGACTGCTAAGAGCTCAGGAACTGACACCTCTCTTCCTTAATACCACCAAAGCACCATTAATACAATAACAAATATTTTTTAAAGGCCATTACATATTAAAATAAATTTTATGAAAAATATTTTCTAATACAAAGAGTTACATTATTTTACATTTTTACAGACCTCTTTAATATATGGCATAATAGGAAATAAATGGCTTCTCATACACACTTCATTTGCTGTCAGAGCAATGTCCTCTCAGGGTCCCATCTACCCATCCATCCAGGTTCCCCTTGACTATACTTTGTGAACTACTCACTCCTCTGTGATAAACACAGAAAAGGAACCCTGAAGGTTGTATTCACTTTATTGTTCCAACATAGTGCCCAACACAGGGAAGATGCTCAACAAAATTGTTAAATAAATGAATAAAATACACATTTTTAACTTAAAAAGACTCAGTTACTGGGGCACCTGGGTGGTTCAGTAGGTTAAGCATCAGACTCTTGATTTCAGCTCAGGTCATGATCTCATGGTTATGAGATCGAGCCCCTCGCTGGGCTCCATGCTGAGTATGGAGACTGCTTGAGATTCTCTTTCTCCCTCTCCCTCTTCCTCTGCCCCTCCCCTGCCTGCTCACACATATGTGGACATTTTCTCTCTCTCTCTGTTACTCACATTTTCACTTCATCTTCAGTGGAGTTGCAGTACACGTGCCTTTGACATAAGCAGCACTGACTCTACAGGCTCCTGTGGGAGTTCTTTAGCATCGAGGCATTCAATACTCAGACATCCACGCCAGAAACAACCAGTATCTGTTGACAAAAGCCTAAGAGAGGAACACGTGACTAACTGAAGAACTCTCCAAACAGTGACCGGAAAGCAAATGCAGTATTTATCGTAAAGAGTTGTGGGCAATTTAGGGGTTTTGCAAGGACACATTTTTTTGTAAAATTTTTATTTTATGTGCTAGCACTGTTTCTTGTCATGTGTTCTACTTTATTATTTGTAGTAGCTGCCTAGTGCTTTATTGGATTGGTGTGTGTTAATTTATTAAATCTTCTCATGAAGACTTTGTGATTTTTTTGTTTTTAGCTTTTCTATATGTTAACTACTTTGGCACCTTTTTAACTATATCTGTGTGCCTCTCTCCTTCCTTCATACAAAAAGTGTGTGTGTGTGTGTGTGTGTGTGTGTATCATTAAGGGGCTCTCCAGAAAATATTATATCACTTTTGATTACGTGACATTTTAAAATGTTGCTTATATTAAGATAAGCATTGTGAATTTTACACACTCACCCTATCAAACCTTTGTAAGTCTACTCATCAGTAATAGCATTTAGAATTAAGAATGGGTCTTGTGAACAGACCATCCTCTGGATGATAAGGGAAGGAATGGCTTTCAGGATGCTGAGTGCCATTACCTTACTTTCCCATGCAATAAGAAGCAAGATTTTCAAAATTCTTTTTAAAGGATATTAGGATTTTCTGAAGAGAGACTCAATAGGTGACAGTGTTATTTTCACATCTTCAATATACCAAGGCAGTAAAAGAGGAAGCATTAACACCTGGAGAGAAAACTTCACTGTCACAGACTTCTACATTAAATCATCAAAGCTCTCTGCTGAGTTAACACCTGTAGTTACAGATCTCAGCAGAAGAAAATTATACCTGTCTAGTCATATGCACAAATAATTGAAAAGTCATGACAGATAATATTTTGTGCTATGTATTTTTGACACATTTAACTATCCATTTATTTAGGATTATAATTATTCTACATGCCTTCCCCTTGCTATCCAATCCCATAAAATACTAAAGAGAGAACATTCATGTCTGAAATATTAACAAAAATAGTTCGGTTGCATTTAGAATATAATTTTAAAAATTATATCATTGTAAGACTATTATATCTTGATGATTTCTATAACTGAAAAGTGTTACCTTACGCATCTCCTAATGATTCAAAGCAGTAAGACTTAATATTAGAGGAAATTTTTGCTGTTAGAAGATTTGATTTTTTGAAAAATCTACATATTTTTAGAGAAATGACTCTGGAACCCTCAATTACATCAGACATCAGATTATGTCAGATCGAATTATACCAAATTATGTTAGATTAAATGATTATAATTGACTGGAAGGTTTATAGGAAAAACTAATATTCTGTCTATTTAAGATTGCCATGGTCTGGTTCTTAGAAGTCTTCATAACTTGGTAATATTCTCTTCCCCACACCCACGCCCATGTCAACCAACACATCCATGCACACGCATTCATGTGCATGCATGCACATACACACACATACACATGGCTCTTTAGTGTAGGAGTCCTGTCCTTCTCTGGGTACCTGTACTTCCTCAATTCTTCCTTAGACCATGTTGCATTGGGCTAGTAGTCATTTCTAAATCTGCCTGCTGAAGGCTGTCCTAGCAAACTTTCTGAAAGTACAGCCTGAGACTCACCTCATGAAATAGACTCTGGGGGTAGGAACATAATTTTTCTCTAATTTTTAACTTTCTAATTTTCAGATATCTGTTTGGGAACTCCAGTATAAATGACCTAGTCTCATTCTGGAAGTGTAGGGAATAAGACCCAGCATCTAGCTCCAAAGGGAAATGAAATAATGTTACACTATTCTTTGAGAGAGTTATAGATAGCAAACACTGCTTGCTGATGCTTTTTTGCAGGTAAAGTACTGAGACCTCAGGGAGGAAAGGCAAGGTGCCTTCAGTCTTAAAAGGACTCATCATGTAGAAAACAGAGCCCAGAGCATCTTACCTTTTTTCCCATTCATTGATTCAGCAAATACTGAGTTACTAAGCATCAAGCATCATTCATGGAGCTTATATTCTAATTGGGGGGAGATTATAGAACTGTCAATAGTAACAACAGAATACCAGATATTAACACCATGCAGACTTAAAACAGGTGAGTATGATAATTCCCCAGGCAACTATTTTACAGTGTGTGCTCAGGAACACCTAACCATTAGCAAAGCTTAGGAAATTTAAGATGAACTAGAAGTGCAAAGCCATGTGAAGATCAAGAGGAGAACATCTCAGGGCGCCTCAGTGGTTCAGTTGGTTAAGCATCTGCCTTCAGCTCAGATTGTGATCCTGGGGTCCTGGGATTGAGCCCCGCCCCCCCCGTCGGGCTCTCAGCCTGCTTCTCCCTCTCCCTTTGCCTGCCACTCCCCTTGCTTGTGCTCTCTCTCTCTCTCTGTCAAATAAAATCTTAAGGAAAACATCTCAGGACAAAGCCCTGATAGTCCTGAGGTGGGAATGAGTTTGGCATGTTTGAGAAGGCAGGCCAGTGTGACTACAGTGTAGTAGGTGAGCAGAGGCAGGTATGGAAGAAGCAGGAGATACCGACAGGTGCCTGATTATGCGTAGTGTGGAGGCTACCTTTAGAAACCAGTTGAAGGGTTGTTTTCAGGGAAATAATGTCATCACATGATCATCAGGACCTTTTTCAAGCTGCCCCCTGGCTTCTCTGTATAGAATGGATTGTAAGGAGACAAAATAGGAAGCCTAGAGGATTTATAAAGCTAGGAAGCCGTTTCGTGAGTCACACCAGAAATGACTTCAGCTTGGACTCTGGTTGTGATACAGATGGTGAGAAGTAACGTGAAGTCAGAATAACTTGCACGTTGTGTTGCCAAGGTAATTGGATGTTGAAGAATAAAGGTGACTTGACTGGTGACTTGATGAGCAGCCTCAGTTGATGGCTCTTTAGTATAGGCTAAATATTTAAAAACAGATCTCATACAAAACTCTGAAATTCTGGCTTCTCTTTTTTTTTTTAATTTTTTTTTTTTTTAAGATTTTATTTATTTGCGAGAGAGAGAATGAGAGACAGAGAGCATGAGAGGGAGGAGGGTCAGAGGGAGAAGCAGACTCCCTGCCGAGCAGGGAGCCCGATGTGGGACTCGATCCCGGGACTCCAGGATCATGACCTGAGCCGAAGGCAGTCGCCTAACCAACTGAGCCACCCAGGTGCCCTCTGGCTTCTCTTAAGAAAAAGAGTATCTGGTTACGTTGAGTCTGAATTCTCATGTGAGTGTTGGTTTACTACTTTAGGAGATGGGTGTAGGCTCTGGTTTTCAAAGCCTCCATCTGTCCTCACTGTCTCCTTGACATTGAGGCTGTTGTTGGTTGCCATTTATCATCAATTTATCCTATCGTTTTTCTTGTATCATGCCCACTTAATTTATTTAGTATACTCTGTAGGCCTTTAATTTTGGGGTCTCAACTCTGATAGTCTGAAAAGAAAGTACATAAAAAGCTTTAGGGTACCTATGAATATCTAAATAAGTGTAAAAATGGCCTGTTTGCCAGTATACTCTTATATAATAGTATTCTTTTTTTTAAATTTATTTATTTGACAGAGAAAGCACAAGTAGGTAGAGTGGCAGGCAGAGGGGAAGGGAGAAG